AAAGGTTTGCCAGTTGTGGTACTGACTCGGAAAATTTGGAAAAAAAGGCGTTTCAGAAATACTTTATGTCAGGTAAAATTCAAACAGATATAAGACTATTTCTATCGTCAACCCTTTGCAAAGGAAAATAAATGGCATTTTGAGAGAGATTCTGCTAGTCAATTATCGTGAAACGTTAATCAAGACAAGACTGATAGCTCTATGTATATGAGATTCGCTGTGCGTCCACAACGTTCGAAACCGACCAAATCCAAAGACTCATACACTTAATCTAACTGAACCAGCTTTGAGGGCATTTAGTTAAATCAGCTTTGCGACTTTAAAGTCAGAAGGCACTTAAGATGAAGCTTTCTCCAGATGTCGTCATTGAAATTTGCGTTTATGTTGGTTATTTGTAGACCCATTAGACGTCAGCATTTCACTAAGCGGGATGAGATAACTGTTATTAAAGCATAGAAATGTGTTAATAACAATTACTCATTTTGTTCAGTGATAAAGTCAGACAAAAAATTGCGGAAAGGATACATCCAGCACAGCTTTTGTTGCAAAGAAAGTCACGACGTTATTAACGGGATGTCTCTTCCAATCACATTGTCGTCCACAGTAATGACCACCAACATATCTGAGATCGCATAAGCATACTGTCCAGAAAAAAAGTCATTTTTGAAGTAAGACTGCTTTAAAACTAGTGAAGACGGGAGACAAGAAGCAATCTTCATCCAGCGGAAAGAATGGAAACGACTCAAATTACTTAAGGATAAAATGATGTACCGAATCCGATGTCTCGCCCTTCCCTTCGGGAGATTCAGCAAGCTGTGATGCCTCAGGTTTAAGTCCGTTTCCAATCAATTTGATTTGTTTCATTAACCTATAGCAAAGCGTATTAGGAAGGGTTTTCAAAACTATAATGTACTTACCATTCAAAGTCTATTGATATCAGAAAGAGTCCTGCAGCTATTATAACAAAGTTGACATTGAATAACTTGCGTAATGGTGGCCAAATGTACGGACGGTGTTGATATATAGTATTGGAGAAATCCGAATAACCAACACCGCTTTTCCTAAAATGCTAAGAGATAATATGGATGGGAAACAATATATATTAATAGCCTATTTTGTATATATGTATATTATACATACATCTATATATATATATATATATATATATATATATATATATATAC